GGAAGAAACACAAGTACATATCAAAAGATACGACAGTTGCAATCTCCCAAACAAAAAATCCAATCACAGATCCTTGTGTAGTTCATAAGCATGATGACTGGGTGTTCATGCAAATGTGTGAGATGTGCCTCCCTCAAACCTTGTTACGATGTTGGCACATTGCCCATCTGACGTGACAAAGGAAAAACAAAAAACCAATCACAGATAAACAAGCCACTTGAGAAAAAATCATTAAGCAAAGACAGACTACAAGAAAAATACATGGGAGACCCAACCCGTCACAGGTTTTAAATTACAAATAAAATACTCAAATAAATAACCAAAATCATAAGCCAGCAGACATGCCTGCTGGGTTGGACTAGAGTTTTTAACTGCCTTCCAACTGTCTTAGTAACTGACTACACAATTGATAGAATTAAAGCCAAAAGTAGTCCACAGGTTAATTTCATTGCATTACTTCAATTGTCTCCTCCTAGATCTTTTGGCATAACAGTTGATGAGAATTAAAACTAACCACCCCATGTTTTGCCTTCATTCACTTGCTGCCATGAAGAAAAGTGCTTATAAACCCATAATTGGTCAAAATGTAGGTAAGAAAAGGGAAGTATTTGACTGGCAAAATTATTTAGGGTTATCCGTCCTTGAACAATGAATTGAGTGCCATCTGCAAACCTATATCTAAAGGGGTTACGCCATGTGCATCATCTATTATAATGACACCAGACTGAATCTTGTGCTTCTGACTCCCAATTTAATACTCGCTCCACTTCTTTCCTACTCAGAAAAGTTTATAATAAGTTGAAAAAGGATGCATCACTTTGTGATTCTTAGTCTGGCGTAGGCATTCAAAAATACAGGCAGTTGAAAAGAAGAGTTAAACAGCAACATAAAAGTTGTAGGGAAAAAGGAATTCAAAACGGTCTGAAATATTATTTTTTTTATGTCTCTGGTCCTCACATCTTCATCCTTTAAATCTTTTTAACTTGGCAGTAATATCTTTTATTGAGGCAATTGTAGATTCACATACAGTTGTAAGGAAGTAATACAGAGAGATCTCTCGTATACTTTGCCCAGTTTCCTCCAATGATAACATTTTGCACAACTATAGTATAATATCACAACCAGGACAATGACATATTGACATTGATACAATCCACCAATCTTACTCAGATTTATTCGAATTCATTTGTGCACGTGTGTGTATATTAAGTTCTACACAATTTTATCACTCAAGTAGGTTCGTGTATCCGCCACCACTCAAGATACCAGACAGTATTAGCACCCTGGGATCCTTCGTGTTGCCCTTTTATAACCACGTCCTCCTCCCACCCTCCCATCCTTAACCCCTGGCACCCACTAACCTATCCTCCACTTACACTTCGGATTGTGATGCCACACCCTAGCAGAGAGGGGCCTTGGGTACACCCAGCCCTCCCTCCTCCTCGCTTCCTGTTACTGCTCTTTCCACCTTCACGTCACGCAGGTGGAATCAATCTTAGATAACAGCTGGTCACAGAAGAAACGGGATTTCACTTTATTGATAGAGAAGACTAGCCAAAAGCAAAAAGACACAGTTTTGATGTTTAGGTGCATATGGCTCTAATATGTACATATCCACTAATATGCATATTCCTGGCTATTAAAAAAGAAGGAAAAAGAGAACATATATTCTAGAAACTTTATAATGCTTCCCATCAATTTAAGTACCGTTTCCTTCAAAATCAAAAAGACTTTTTTCTCAGAGTACCAAATTTAAAGCAGCATGGTTCAGCATTTTCCACTTATATTATAGCCTTTTATCCATGGCAGAGACCATAGTCATTCTACATTAGAACATGGAAACCCTGACTTCCACTTAAGGAAGCATCTTGTTTTTCCCTTGCAAACCATTGGAAACACTGTCCTTCACTTGAATTTAAAATCAAAAGAACGAAGGGTAAATTGCTAGTTATAAAAACACAGTGTAAAAAGTAACATAAATAAAATGTCTATGCAACTTTCATAGCACCGAGCAGTATGCATGCAACTGGAATTCATACCTGCAGAGCTAAGGAGGACACTGAAATCTGTTCCCCTCTGTGATCCTCCGCTTTCGTTATTGACCTCTTTTTCAATATCTTGATATCGATCCCAGTTAGAGACGATCTTTCTTTTAGAATAATTTCCCTGTTCATCATTCTCTTCTCCATAGGTCTCTGCATCGCTGTCATCTTCAACCTGCAATCATTAGC